AGGAGCAGCACTGTGAGCCTCCTCCCTTGGCCGTAGCGCATGTTACTGGAGGCGCTTGAAGAGTTTTTGTGCTTTGACAGTCATATCCTTCAGCCGGCTTGGGTATTTCGTTGCTGTTTTCCTGCTGCTGGCGCCAACACTTTACTTTAGCTGAAATCGAGCTTCTCATTTGTGCAGCCCTAAAAACCCCCCCCGTTAAATCCCAAGCAAGAGTTGTGTCATAACAAAGCCCCGCGTAAGCAAAACCCTGCACGGCGCAAGCCGGCGTAAGCAGTTTTTGGGGAAACATGCTGCGTAAGCACCTGCGTAAGCTCTTCTTCGTGGTGGCTTGGTAAGTTTTGTAAGCACGCGCGGAAGAGTGGTTTCACACATGTGCTTATGTGTTTATTGGTGGCTTGTGCTGTTGCTGTTGCAACCTAGTCGAGCTTTGCAACTTGCCCGGAGACTTTGGCTGCAGGAAGACGTCTAAGACCGCATGTGCACACCAATAGAAAACACAACCAGCAGAACTTTGATTGGGAGCTTTGGGGCTCATGCTAGGTGCTGTTGCAACCTGTACTAGGACAAATAAAGGCTTCTGAAACCGCTGATCTAGGAAAACTAAAGGGGCTCGGGCGCGTAAGCTCGCGTAAGCAGGCGCGTAAGGTTCGCGTAAGCTTGTCTAGCTGGGCTGCCCGCTAGCCCTAGCGATGGATGCCGCTGCCACGTAACCCGTTTCTTGATTTGCAGTTATAAGAACAAACATGCCAAGCCGATGAAGCTCGTGAGGGCAGTTCTTCGTCATCTTCTTCCTCAGGGTGACCCACTTCACCTTGATGGTGGCTGCATGAGAAAAGGAGCCCGCGTAAGCAATTCTTGGGGCGAAACACTCAAAACGCCCACGCGTAAGCGATGCGTAAGCTTAACATGATCGCTGACTGCCGCGTAAGCGAAAACATGGATTGCGTAAGGAAAGCGTAAGCTCGCGCGTAAGCAACTTGATACGACATTAGGATTCATGGGAGGTTTATAGAGTCGCTCATTTGTTGCTTTTTCATGCAGGGCTTTGCTGGCTTTGTACACCTAAATAGTGTATTGCAATACATCTTACATCGGTGACAGGCCTGTCACCATTCAGCATGTTCGGAAGCAAATGTGTATCCCGTCTCGCCTCTTCGGAAGCACTAGCACTTTGCTACTGTATCAAAAGCTGAGTCTACTATTATCAGAATTTGATGTGAGCACAGATCAAGGATGCACCAAGCTGACTAAGTATGCCCAATTCCCTGGTGTCACTTGAAGGACATTATGACCATCGACTGCTTGGATCCAGAGACTGGCTGCTGGGAGGCTTTGGCCTTATTGCAGACAGATAGAGGCAAGCGCTCGTGCGTGCATACGTGCGTGCATGAGGCTGTGAGTGTGTGTGTGTGTGTGCGTGTGTGTGTGTGTGTGTGTGTTTCATGCTTACTGATGCTGCGCTTCAATTGCGTGAGCCGCTGGCAGCCTTATTCCACGGAAGCTTTTGCAAGCATCCACAATGAGCCTACCGTTTAAGAACTGACTCAGTGCCATCAGCTGAAAGCGAACCATGCGCGTCAGAATCCTATGTTTGGTTTGTTTCGCTGGTCAACTTATTGAGCAAACTGATCCGGATTCGACAGTTGTAGGCGGTCGACTCGCTTGGCCTGAGTATTGGTCAAGCGTCCTATTTGCGCAATCAGTGAATCAAACAATCCTAGTTTAGTCGTGCAGCTGCAATGCAGTCACCTTGCTCGAGGTGCTCTCATTGCAGATTCATGTAGATTCTGATATGGGTATGGGTCAAAATTAAGCCACCGGGGGACCGCAGGTTGTTGTCCTTGTTTCCATTTACCAGGGTTCAGTTTAAACCCATTTCCTTTGGCAACGAGTCCTCCATTACGCCTGAAACCCACGTGCAATGTGCGCACTTGTGCGTGTTGGTGTCTTCTTCAAAACCCTTCTATTTCAGAGCATCAGTACCGCTGCGTCACAAATACGCGGAACAAGATGTGCCATTTGAGGGCAGGATAGCCCTTCTATTAGGCAATCATTTTTTCTGGCCAATACATTCAAGCCTTTGTGGCTGGTTTTGCTTGGAATGAGCAGCAACCATACCATGTCAGGCTAGTCTGCTCAGGACGCTTAGGCGCAAAATTGATTTTATTGCTTAAACTCCTAGTGTGCGCTGATGTTGGCTTGTCCTAGCTACCATCAGCAATCCTCTTAATTTGGTGTTGCCAAGAATGACCTGGGGCCACTGTAGTTATGAAGAAGAGAGTACGTAAGAGAGCATGTAAGAGAAAATGTCGCTACCCGACACTCAGATGAGCTAGCATAGGCCCCGCGTTACGCACCGCTATTTTCCCCTGAAGAAGGTCATGGAGGCCAGTTTGTTTGCAGAGAGTGCGGGGCATCCTGCCAAGTGGACTGTATCCAACATGTTCTCAGTTGAGTTCATGGTGTCTACGATGAGCCAGCATCCTAGCCTGCCCAGGTGGTTTCCCAGATGCACCCCCGCAGCCATTGCATGACTGCCACAGTCCGGCCGTGAGAGCCTGGTGGCCCAACTGCCAGTTGCCAGACTCTGATTGTCAAGATCTTCAGAGTCGGGCAAAGGGATAATTTTCCAACTTGGGTCGCCTTCTCCGTGAACCAGAGTCCCATGCGTTTGATTCTCGAAAGCTCATCAAGAAATCAAGCAAGGAACAAGTCCTTGGTGAGCAATGGTAGCCATCCCAGAAGCAGTTCAGAGGCCTCAGGCCCCGTATGACTTGTTGGTTTTAAGGTGTTTCAAATCATATCCTCACCGGGGTGAGTGACCTGAAGGGCCTGGAATAGCTCCGGCCAAAATGTTTGAATTGCGCCTTGGTGGCTGCAGGTTCCTGCTGCTCCTTCCGTAGGCGGACTTGCGAATTTATTGAAGCTTGCATATTCAAAGAGTGAATGGATCCCACCCTCAACAGATTCCCTCTAAGGGTTGGGAACTGTTTTCATGTGACCAAATCGACGTTACTTGAATTGCTTCAGGAGAACAGGCTTGCAAACGGCAGACAGTCCAGAGCTGAACTTTGTTCGGTTTCGAGGAACAGCCAGCAGATGGGCCAAATATGTAAGCAGTGCTAGACAGTTGGCCACTGTCATTAGTGAATTAAATGGTGTTTGACATGTGCATCCGAAGCGCTAAACTTTGCAACACTTGTGGCAGACAGGAAGTCCCTAGTCGGAGCTGCGGAACTCAGAAGTGGGTGGGCTCGGAGAAGTGTTAGCTTTAGGATTCACACTGGCTGAGCCACCTGATTCACTGCTGATTTGTGGAGATGAATAGGATTACCGCGCTCATTGGCCAGCCAGCAACGGTCGTCAACCGTCTTGCCTTTAGCGTAGGTTTTGCTGTGTACATATGCAGGGTCACACTGTGTCTCCCTGTTTCACGCATCTGAAAAAGCACGTTGCTCATTGCAAGGAAGCTTCGCCAGATCAATCGGTGCTCGCTTGCTTCATGAAACAGTAGCGCCAGAATGGGAGCCCTCAAAGGCCTGAGAGCCAGTCCCATTTGATATTTGGTTGAAGCGTTGGCGCCCCACGCAATGCTTGGGTGCGGTGTGTGCGGGGGCAATTGACCGGGAATCTGAGTGTTTAGGGTTAGTATAGGATTTGTTTAGGATTGGTTTGTGGGTGGGTTTAGGGTCGGTTTGGGGATTGCTTAGCTTGTGTTTAGGGTTGGTTTAATGCGGGTTTAGGGCTGCTTTGGGTGAATGTAGGGTGCGGTTAGGGCGGGTTTAGTTTTTACAGGGTTGGGTTTAGGGTTTGTTCGGCTAAGGGTTGGCTTAGGGTTCTATAGGGCAGGTTAAGGGTATATTTACAGTAGGGTTTGCGTAGGGTCGGTTTAGGTCTGGTTCAGGGTGGGTTTAGGGTTGGTTTAGGGATTGCTTGGTTTTTGTTTGGGGTTGGTTGAATATACGTTTAGGGTATGGTTTAGGTTAGTTAGGATGAGTGCAGGGTTGGGTTGGGGTTTGTCTAGGGATTGCAGGGTTGGTTTAGGATCTCGGACATGAAGCGTTGCTCTTGTTGGTTGTGCCGGGATGCCTGAAGCAAGGGCGAGCCCAACCGCTTTCTACAACGAAGCTTGGGTGTTTCACGTATATACACGCGCCGACTCACCGCGCTGTGCCTGGCTTGGGGGCTGGCGTAGGCTCAGGCTTGGCGTTCTCGCCATTCTCGCGGCTGTAAGGTTGGTTTATGTGTAGGCGTGGGGTTCTCGCCGTTCTCCTGTAGTCGTGTTTTTTGACTTTGACCTGGTTTTCCAGTCGCTGCGTGATTGGATGCGACCAGAGACAAGAGCGCGCTTGGTGATTTTGCTTCACTGGGTTCGGTTTTCATGCCTCTATCATGGATGGGCCACACCGCTTTCTAAAGAAAATACATGCCCCAAGGCTTCGTTTTGATACTGCAGCAGGTGGCGGGGTCCAAAACAGCGCTAAGCAAGCCGATACGCCTTTGAGGGCAAAAGTTGACAAAAGAGTGCCCGCTGACCTGACATAGATGGGTAGGGAGCTACATAGATACGTTGGTAGACGGGCAGATAGACAGACAGACAGCCACACAGACAGACAGATAGACAGAGACACACAACTGGATGGCTGGCTGGCTGGCTGGCTGGCTGGCTGGCTGGCTGGCTGGCTGGATGGATGGATTGACGGGCGCATGGGTCGATGGGTACATGGGCGCATAGGCAGACAGGCAATCCGATAGAACGACGGATCAAACTATGGAAGGATAGATGATTGACGCAAAGAAGTACATGACATAGATAGACAGTTGTGGAGACATCATATGGATAGACAATGAGCTTGGGAGCGTTGCAAATGCTCTTGAAAGCCCAACAAGCAACACAATTGGGAATTTTCCAGCGGCAGTTTGTGAGCGAGAATCCCCGAGTTTGAGAGCAATCTGCGATAGCCCCAACTGCAAGGCTGGCTGCGATTGGCTCAGCCCGCAGCGATTGGCTCTTAGCTGATCCCAGGAGAGCGCCCAACGTCCCAGAACCCAGGCGCTGCGCTTGGGTCGCGACGTCTTGCTTCGGCGGTCAAGGAGTTCTGGGAGAGCCATGTTCGCCTTGGCAACGTGGCAAATTCATGAGGGTAGTCTTTGATTGGTGGATTCTTTGGCATATGTTCAAGCATTCGGGCCCAACAGGCCCAGAAAGTGCTCACGAGAACCTCGTAACAGCAGAGTTGCTCATAGTAGAGCGGCAAAAAGGACAGAAAGAACGAGGTTGGAATAGGCAAACTAGGTACACGGCGTGTAGACGGCCGTGGTGGGGCATGCATGCAGCGTTCTGCGTCGGTTTTACAGTGTGATTTCGCAGCACACACTGTTTCTCTTGCGCAACGCACGTTTTTGAAGTCCAACATTTTGCGCCAAACTACTTTCTACAGCAGGTTTTCCAGCTCATATTGAAGTCGAACTGCTGACATTTGCTGGCGAAAACATATACTTGACATGCAACTAAAAGGTGCCAAGTGATGCCCAGGCACTCCCATGTCTGCATTGGAGTCGCGGAATTGGCGCAGACCCAGCAAGCGACTAGACAAAACGAGGGCAGAAGCAGTCAAAGCAGGGGCAAGGCAGCCGCCGTGCAAACGTACCGAGACCAGGCGGACGCAAGGGAAGGAAGATGTTCAGTCAAAGAAGTGAAGCAAAGCAGACCACGGTGGGAATCAATGGAGGCAAGAACTACGAATTCAAGCACAGAATCTCCACGCGAAATGTTGCAGAAAACGTCGAGATGATGGTCCAAATGCCAGGGACAAGCAGACCAAACCCTCAAAAGAACCTAAGACTATCTCAGACCGGTTTGGGGATGAAACGCAAAAGCAGAACAAACGCAAGAGACAAAGACACTTCAAACGCATACGCATCCATGGTGCTCACATTGAGCCGAAACAAGAAATGACCCGACTCGGCAGCCACCGCAAAACAAGCCAGGGTGTTCCAAAAACTTGCGCCCAAAAAAACAGCTCAAGAGCCGAACCTTGACATCAATCCCCCCCCCTCCCTGCCCCCCCACCCCACCCCATAGGCCACGCAAACAGCAGCTAAATGAGACAAAATGTTCCACACCGACACAAAAAGAAGCACGGGCCAAGACAAAAAAAATGCAAACAACCGAACAAAAATTGCTTAACACACCACGGCCGTCTACACGCCGTGCACCAACTACTGCACGAGCAAAGGCGTGCTTGGCCAGTTTTGACAGTGTGCCATTGTTGACCGAGCAGTATCCCGTTTCCATGGGGCCTGCATGCAGGGCAACTTGCCAGGCGCAGTTGGATCAGTACCAGGCTGTTAGGCATTGATTTCTAGATGCACACACACACAAGCATGCTCTTGCTTCCTCTCGCACTCTTTCTCCCTCTCTCGCTCTCTCTCTCTCTCTCTCTCTCTCTCTCCCTCTCTCTCTCGCTCCCTCCCTCCCTCGCTCGCTCCCTTACTCAATGACTCACTCACGCACTCACTCACTCACTCACGCACGCATGCACGCACTCACTCATACATACACACATACATACAGACAGACACGCACACGCACACATACATACATACGTACGTGCGTACATACAAACGTACAAACGTACAAACATACAACCATACAAGCATACAAACATACAAACATGCAAACATGCAAACATGCAAACATACAAACATACAAACACACATACATACATACGTACATACATACATACATACAAACATACAAACATACAACCATACAAGCATACAAACATACAACCGTACAACCATACAACCATACAAACATACAAACAAACAAACATACATACATACATACGTACATACATACATACACACACATATACATACATACACACATACACGTACACATACACATACACCACATACACTTACATATACACATACATACACATACATATACACATACATACACATACGCACATACATACATACAGACTTACATACAGACATACATACGTACGTACATACGTACATACGTACATACGTACATACGTACATACGTACATACATACATACATACACATATACATATACATATACATATACATATACACATACATACATACATACAGACATACATACGTACGTACATACGTACATACGTACATACGTACATACGTACTTACGTACATACATACATACATACATACATACATACATACATACAGACATACGTACATACATACACACATACACATATACATATACATATACATATACATATACACATACATACATACATACATACATACATACATACATACATACATACATACATACATATACATACATACATACATACATACACACTGTACATACTGTACATACTTAGTATAAATACTATCCATACTATACATACTATGCATACTATACATACTATACATGCCATACACAGATACAAACATGCTTAGATACATAGATGCATAACTAAAAATATTTACAGCAATATAGATGCATAGACACAGAGATACCCACACACATACCGTACACAGATAAATAGATGCATAGATACGTACGTACATACGTACATACATACATGCATACGTACATACGTACATGCAGACATACGTGCTAAACACACGCACACATGCACACACCTACACACATGCACACATACACACACACGCATACACACATATACGCACACACACACACACACCTGCACACATACAAACTTAGGCACTGGCAAAGGTGTTCGTGAATTCCATAGCACTACCTTCCAAACAAGCTGCTCAAGAACCTCATGAACGAGGCACTGCAAAGCCTGAATGGTTCATATCCTCAGCAGGCATGTGTAATTTCAGGCACACGTCCCATGTTTTCTTCCAAGCTCGTCCAGCCCTTGGGCCCATGCCAGGCTCTCCGATGCAGGCGGCAGCTGTAGCGTTCCGTCGCGTAGGCGAGGGGTGATGCAAGGGAGCAGGGCCGGTTTGCAACGGTGTGGGTCCTGACTCCCCTGAGTCCTTTTGGAGGATACCATGGATACCACTGAGCACATGAGGGTGATGGAACTTGAGTAAGAACAGGATGCACTGGGGACATTGAGGTTGCATTTGGCTGCCTTTGGCACACGTGCTGAGAAGCAATTCAATCCTTGGATGACAAGGCAAAGCAGGTCCGCCTCTTGCTCGATTTCGTCCTGATATAACCTTTTTCGGATTTGAATCTGTGACCGCAATGTGCCTTGTCACGGCCAGTGATCCGCATTTTTGCGGACTTGTTTCCTCTTTTGCAAGACTGGCGACGGAGGATACCCTCACCTTTGGACCTGCCTTTTTTCGACTGCATTTAGGCTTAGTGACAGAAGCAGTGAGAAGCAAACGCGCGGAGGGTCTGCAAGAGGATCGTCATTCAGAGGACAGCCCTCCAAGGAGAATATGATGGTATGTTCCCAATGGAACGAAGGGATGCCCTCCTGTGTCTCCATCCTCTTGCGCTTGTGTTTCCGCAGGCGTGGCAAGGCCATTCCGGCCAGCACAGGCAAGGGTGTGTGCATGTGTCCCATGTGGCTGCTTTATGTCCGATGTGACCGGCCCTCCCATCCCCCTCCCCCCTCCCAGTGTTTGCCTGAAGCTTTGGTGTGCGGGTGTGTGCAGATTGCGTTTCAAGTGTGAATACTCAAAGTTGTTCGTGCGGTTTCATGACCAATGCCAAAGCAATCGGCTTGCTTTATATTGCACGATCCGCGCCTAGCTATATCGAGAATCCGAGTCCGCGCTTGCTCAACACATGCGGTGGGTCGCCCTTCAAGTTCAGAGGCTCGCCTCTTCTCCTACAGCCAGCACAAGGTCGGGGAGCAGGGCACCTTAGACTACCGCATGCACTTTCAGGAGAGCGAATCAGACCGGACCACGTCTGAGTTGCGGGGAGTCTTTGTTGCTGGCATGCTGACTCGGGGCCACGTTTTCCTAGGTGGCTTTCGTTGAAAAAACGCTTAGTGACTGCCAGACCTAGCAAGGGTGGTTTTGCAGTGTCAGCAATTGTCCACACCATGGCGATGTTGGTGTCATTGTCCTGATCAGCTTGAGCGTGCTGTGCTTACCAATCTACCAATGCTGTAGTAGATGACAGTGCTCGGTACATTTGGCCGGCACTTAATCCAGGTCTTGAATCCGTTTCCTTCCTGATACAGCATGTGTATCAGACTTCGCCGCGGCCAGGTGGACACTTGATTGGGTGTGTTGCCAAGCATGGGTTCTCCCTATCCCGCAGGACAAGAACGGAAACAAGATCTCTCCGTGGCACGACATCCCCCTCAAGAGCGGTGAGGCATTGGGCTGGCGTTGTCGTTGAGACCCTCATCATCACATGGCTCGTGTTGCTGGGCCTGCCTCGCACGTCAGACACCTCATGCTGTGTTTCAGCGTTGCAAGCTTCTGGAAGCTTGCCTGATTTCCTAGATCCCTACATGTTTGTGTCCAAGCAACACTGGGGCCGCTTCTCATCATGGCAAGTACACACCTAACAGGACACACCTAACAGGAGTCCTTCACAAGCTGGTGTCATCTCGCCTACCTCGCCTTGGGGGGCTGCATGTGTTTTTTGCCCAAAAAGCGCCTCTACTCCAGTGGATGGATCATGGCCGCTGGCAACGATGAATTCGTAGTAGCTTGTCGCCAGCACTTCAACTGCCTGATCGAGATTCCCAAGATGACAAAGCCGAAGATGGAGGCATTGGGAGAATCTCGCCTTGTGGGGCCAGCACAGAGTGCAAAGTGAGTGTTGGGTCCAGTGACAGCAATGAGCGACCTCACTTTGCAGCCATCAATGTGTGGACAATTGCTGGGCAAGGGTTGGGCGGCAGGCATT